TGATCGCTTGCAATCATACTCATCATAGCGGCGATACATTTGCTTATTGCACACTCAACTGTATTCACATGAAGTAGGTTTCGAGCTGATCAGTTAGTCGTGAAGATGAAGATGGGATCGTCTACTGTTCCCGCAAGGAGGAGAGTAGGTAGCACAATGCCATTGGACTGCACTCAGCCTCAAAAGTAGCTTTATGGGACTACCAGTAGATCACACATAAATAAGATGTATTCGCCACACTTCGTTCAAGATCATCGAATTTTCCCAAAATCATATGAGTGGTTGGATGAGAATACCTTTTGGTAAGGCAAGGCTGTGCGAAATTCAAAGAAGACATAAAGCATGCTCATCTGATTGTGGGAAAATTCAACTACCAGCCTTCATGTGGGGAATACATCTCATATGCACTTGATCTTGCCTTCCAAAAGATATTGTCATTCCGACTGCACTGAACGGCAGATATGCACTTTCATCGTTCGACTCCCGCTTGGGGTGTTGATAAGACCAGTTGATGCGAGATCGAAACTTCAGTCCACTCCAGCCGGGATGGGAAATTTAATCGAAGCGTCAGCTCTACTCATCAGAATATGGGAAAATCCAACTATCAGTCCTTCACCACCTTAGACGAAATAGGGTTAATACATCTCATATAACTGATGTACTAGTAGTGTCTAAACTCCGCTTATAAACGGGAAATCAGTAATGTAGTCGGTTGCTATAACAAATATTACTTTACTTCATCGACGATCCCATCACAAAAAGTGATATGGAAAAGGCCTGGCCTTCATTGAAATTCTCGATTTCCCTGTGATGGCATTCGTGACAGTCTGGCGCCGCGGTCAGCTTATCGATACTTTACGCTGTACTATCACGCTCCGAATTCGAGTCCCGCTAGACTCCTCTGGTAAGACCAGTTCAGGCGAGGTCGAAACTGTAGTTCAGTCCACTTTGGCCTGCTGGAGCATAACTCTGGAGAAGCAAGGTAATCATGACGCCTGATCATACGATTGTGATAAAATTCAACAATTTATTCTTCATCATCCTAACGAAGTGGTGTGAATACATCCCATGTATGATAAACGAAGAAGGATTGACCGGCTTGGAGCGAAGACTGTTTCGTTCTCGCCAACAAGTCCTCGGCTCACCGTCCTTCAACCTCGATGAACCCTGGCAGACATCGTCAGAGCAAGAAAACATAGAATGGATGGATCGGGGTCGCAGAACCATCTCCACTCCACAACATTCAATTCTACCTCGGTTTCCTGGCGAGATTAATTCACAAATTCCTTCCAATCAACTTTCCCTTCGAAATGGAAAGTCGCGTCACACAAAATCATTATATGCCTTTATAAGGCCTAACCTTTCTTTATATATACTCAGCCCAAAATGGTCACTTACAAAATTGGCCTAGTCTCGTTAGGCGAAGCCGGAACTGTTCCCATTTAATTTGTGATTCCTAATAATACTCAACTAATTTTGAGTAGTATTTACGTTTGTTGCAACCAATTCACGAATTACGTCCAACCAACTTCTTAAACTGAGTCACTTCATACACTCTATTCCAGAGACTAATCCGTCAACTAGTATTCTGGAATGAGAAGGTAGAGAATCAAGATGTAACGCCAGTTGCTAGTGGAAGTGAGGAATAGAAAATTGTTGCTTAGGTGACTGAATACGATACCAGCGAAGCGGCTCTGAGTGAACATATAAGGCAGAGGATCCCGGACTGTCTAGGCACCACAAGGTTTGAATTCAGTTGCAATTAAGTTG